AGGCGCACTCCTTGAGTGTAGTCTCTTGAATTGGATTTGATGGGTAGGGTTCTCTTTTTGGACTTCACAGACTGTTGTTTCATAATATTGTTGATCACTCAAACACTAGGCTTGCTGATTTCCCCCCCATGCTAGTGCTGGGGAAGCGGTAGCCTAGAGTTTGGGTTTTCTACAGTGTCGCATAATAATAATCAATTTTATTGTAGATTCATGTCATGGACCATGACATGTAAAAAAATTCGAGCACGATTCGATTGGACCGGTTGCTAATGGCGCGATGAAATCAAATACGAAATTTGCCGAAATACGACAGTAGAATTTTGGTTGGAAGTATCAACAATAAGCAAGCTATCTTTCAACAATTGCAAACCATTGCATATATATTACAACAGAAATGTGATTTACTAATTAGATGAGGAGGAAGTCCAAAAATATGGTTCGATTTTGTAGGTAGTGTTTCTAATTCCCAAAATCCGCGTGAAAAAAAAATTCGGTAAAATCGATGGCAATAGCTTGCTCCGCAACCCAAAAAAAAAATCGGAAAAAGGCTGAATCAACGTAAAAAAGGCTGATATCTTGGGCCCTGATGCATAGACTTGACCCTTTGTACCCCATACTAGCATTCTTACTTGGGGAAAAACACCCACCACCAAGCTGGGTCCTCTTTTGGAAAAAAAAGTGTCTGAGCAATCAGACACGTTCTGCGCACTTTGTCTGATTCGCTTTTCAGGATCAGAGAATTTTGAAAAAGTTGTCTGATTTTCCAGAGAATTTGAGAATATTTGCCTGAAAATACAGAGAAATTCTACTGCATAGTCTGTTAGTGTGTGACAATAGAAGATACAGTTAAGCACTTTGATTAAGTTAGTACTACTTGCAAGTTACAAACGAACGAGCATGCAGGCAGATGGCCATTCCCTCCCTCCCTACATTTACGGTACCTACTCGTCGTCACCATCAAATTCCATCAGTTCCTCCTCCTCTACCTCCTCCTCCACCTCTTCTTCCACGTCTCTTTCCTCCAGCCCATCCTCAACCACAGCCATCCCCTTCCATTTCCTGATCTGAGCCTCGAGCTCAGCGATCTTCCTTCTCTTCTTTGCCTCGGCCTTGCTCTTCTTCTTCCTGGACATTGGGGCAAGAATGGGGGCAATTGCATCCTGGCAAGGCCGCCTTGGCTTGGCGGCCTTCCACATGTCAACAATCTCATCCCACTGCATGTCGTAATCCTGCAGGAGGGAGATGCACACAAGGTCGCCCAAGCGGGCATCACAGAGGTTGCCCCGAGACCAGCTCTTAATGACGTTCTGGCGGGAAAATCCCCGCTCGCACTCCACCGTGCTCAACGGGAGCACGGCGGTTGCCACCCAAATCTTAACAAGATTGGGATAGGCATCTTCCCAGTCGCGTGTCCCCAGCATGTGCCGCAGGCTGACGTGGTACGCCATCTCCCCGTGATGCGCGTCCATGATGTTAACGAATGAGGTCAGCTCTGCCTTGGCGCGCTTCTAGCTAACGCCTGGGAGGGGGGGGGGGGGGGGGTACATTGCGAGGGGAGGGAATCAGCAAAGTGTGAGTATAACGCATGGCATCGCACTCACATAACAGGCACACTGAGTAAACATTAGAAGGGTAATTCAGAAAAACACTTGGAAAAGTATGTTGGTCTCGAGAACTTACCAGGCAAGGGCTTGTTGTTGAATAACTTTTTCAGAAGCGCCAGCCACTCAAGCGCTTTCTTCTCGCGTTCCGATCGCGCAGTGGGATAGGCGCTTGAGAGAAAAAGCTTGGTTCCTCCGAGCTGCTGCAGGTCGCTGAACCTTGACTCGATGCAGTCGATCGTCTCTTGGGCCATGGCACGGCACAACACGATGCAAGACTTCTTGTCGCTCTTGAACTCCGAGTCCGAAATCGACTTCGTGTGAAGGATGTACTCGTGGCGGACCGGCTCGCCATCCTTCGCCTCCCCCTCGACGACCACACGACCTTCAGGCTCATGGCATGTCAAGAACTTGTGCAGGTGCTTGCTTCTGGGGCCGCCGTAAAAAGAGTCGCAATTGATGTACCGTGCGCGAATCACCTCGGTGGTGCTCTGCACCATTCTTCCCACCCTGGTGATGTCGACCTGCAAGTAGCACGAGAAAATCACATAGCCGAGGCATGTTTAGCACAGCATAGAACATGCATGTGCGCGATCGAAAGTATGTGCGCCATCTGATGCGTGAGTGTATACGTTACCTGGCGACGCTGAAACTTCTTGTTAAGCCGGTTGAGCTCTGTTAGCAGGTCGGCGAGGAAGAAGAGGCAGAAGTGGAATTTATAGCCCCTTGCAACCTCGTACGAATCCCGGTCGTACTCGTGCAGCAGCAGGATGGCGGCGGGAAGAACTGCGACCAAGCGGAGTATTGCCTCGGCGCGTGAAAGCCAGCGGATGGCGAAGATAGACTGCATCTCCAGGAAGGTCTTCATCAGGATCTCCTGCAACTCTCTGAAGCGGTCGTGCCACCCTGAGGAGCGTCCCAAAATCTCGGCCAGCATCCTGATGATGTCGTCGATCATGTTGAAGTCGGGAAACTTCTTGGCAGCGTCCTTAGCTGCCAACGCCTCCCTGCTCAAACACGGAACATCATACATCAAAACTACGAAACATGAATCAGAACTAGTCGATGAAGTCGGGAAACCTGCCAAGGAAGTGATGCTGCACTACGCCTCACCTGTGAGCAATGCAGTGAGCAGAGACGAGGTGCAGCACGAGCTGCCGAAGGCGGGCAACCAGACCCTGTCGATCCCCCCTCATGACGCTGGCCCCATCCGTACTGATGCCTGAAACCTTATTGATGTCGACACCTGCCGATTCGAGATGGGTCTGCAAAATAGTTAAGAGGGATCCAGCATCGCACTTATGCACAGTGAGTAAGGCAAAAAACTCAGTGACAACCCTGTCGTTCTTCACGAATGTCACGTAGACAATTAAGTGCTTGCCGCGCCGTCGATCGGTACTTTCGTCGACGCTGAGACCGATGAAATGACTCTTCAGGATGTGCTCAAGCTGCTTCTGCCGAAGGTAATTCGCCGTCGCCTCTGTCAGCTGCCTAAATCCGTACCTGCAACACATGGCAAGCAACGAGAAGCATTAGATGACTCTAGCGGTTCGAACAATGGGAGATTTGCGAAATCCAAAACACATACTCTGTGTGGTAGGTGCCGTAGTTGCTCTCGCCCAAGTCTGGCATACCCTGCGAGGCCATGAAGTTCACCAGAGAAACATACATCAAGATCGGTGCGTCAGTTCTGCAGATGAATAACATCGCCATCAACAACCGAATGATACGTCTGCCTTCGACGTCGCCATTCAAGAAATCCTCGATGCGCTTCTGCTTCGTCTCGGCCCTCTCCTTAGCCTCCTTTTTCTCGACAGCGGCCTGGTGCTTCTTGGTACGCTGGTGCTTGCGCATCGTCTGCACCTGGATGTGTGCTCCGCCCTGTCCGCCTTTGCCGTACTTGCAGTTCTCCGACCGGTGCGCCGTGCAGATGCTGCACTTGATGGACGGGCGACCAAGATCGGTCTTGGTGAGGACGAGCCACGGAAACTTCTTCGACCACTCGGTTTCAAACTTGTGTTTTAGCTCAGCCTCACGTGCTTTAGCGACCTTCAGCGGCTCTGCTGCTTCTGCGTCCTCCTCGTCGTCGTCAGAATCATCGTCCTCCATATCTTCTGTGGTAGACGGGCCGGGCGCTGAACTCGGTGCAGAGTCAGGAGCATTGGATGTGGCGCCCTTGAACCACGGCAGAGAAGCCTGCCGATACTTTCGCTTGGCGGAGGAGCGAGCTGATGCTTCGCCATCGGTTTCCAAGCGGACCGCCGACGATGGTGTGGGCGACTGCGAGGGCTGAGGCAAGGACGGACTGGACGAACGCGCAGGCGACAAAGGAGGGGATGCTAGTGGCACGGGCCATGGCGAGGGCTCGGCTGAGGAAGGCGCAAGCATAAGGTTGATAGCGGCTGGGCGACGGGAGGTATCTGCAGCAGGGGTGCGCGACAGCTTTGAACGCAGGAAGTCTAGGCCTCGCATGGGAGGCGGGGATTCGCTACACCCTTCTGGCTGATCGTCGCCGTCAGCCTCGACAACGACAGCCATATTGGCCCTACTTCGAGAGGGGTTTCTAAACCTGACACAGAACACGAGCAGAACAACGCACGACAACAACACATAACAGAAGTGGATGGAAGAAACAGGTGGAGACGAAGGGAGCAAGAAGCGGTTGGGGAGGGGGTTTCTTGGTCAAGTGCCATGGCGGCACGGACTGGCAAGTGACGAGACGATGGGCGGGGCGACGCGTCGTGATGGGCGGGATGACGTACAGCGGTGCACGTATGCTGCAGCAAGTTCACTGCATGGGGTGAGGCATGGTCTGATCCCCACCGTGCGCTGCAGACCCAAGTAACGCACCGCAAAGGGCTCTGACTAGTCTGCTTTGCTGCAATACCGTAAAGTATCCAATCACATGTGCTCTAGCCACATCAGATGTTGCCACAGAAGGCTTGGGAAGGCTCACGTATGCCAAGGATGCGGAGGGGGGACAACGTGTGGCGACGCGAAAAAGGGAATATTCGCATGGGAGCACCTTACATCTGTATGTCTTTGTTTCAGAGAAACTCAAAACACTTGTCTAAAAATCAGAGAAACTGGTACACCTAGTCTGAAAATTTCAGAGAAATCTGAAAAGTTTGTCTAGTCCAATCAGAGTTTTTGCAAGCCCTTGTCTGAAAAATCAGAGAAACCCCTAAAAACTAGTCTGAAAATCAGACAATCAGACAAAAAAAGTCTGCTATTTAGGACCCTGCCACCAAGGTACAACTCATAAAGTAACTTCATATATCCATGTGTTTATATTTCATAGAGTATGGTTACAACATGGAATGATTAAGGAGCTAGTCAACACCAAAGAGAGCTACCTAGCTTTGGGAAGTGTTTTATAATTGAATTATATCAATATGGTACCATACACGATCATACCCGAGCATATACCGTAACACTATCATATTAGCAAATAATTGGAGGGCATTCGGCAGTTTACTGTCCAGTGAGATTCTGCATCGAGATTTTACTAGATGCACACACTCACACGTACGCAAGCTAGCACACAGGCACACACTGAATACACAAACACACGCATCAAAGACACACACGCACACCACTGGCCACCTCACTGGTGCCGTTGCTGCTGGTGCTTGCCAACAGCATCTCCCTCCTCCTCCCCCGTCCCTCCCCTGCGCATGATCAGCGACTGCCTCACATCCCGCACCATAAGTGCTATGTTCACACACGCTGCTGCCACCGCTGCCACTGCCTGTGCCGCCGCCTCTGCTGCTTCTGCTGCCACTGCCACATCTCCCGCCGCTGCAGCTGCTGCAGCAGCCACAGTGGCAGCAGCAGTGCTGGTCGCTGCAGCACACACACCTGCCTCTACTTCCCCCCCCTCTACTTCCCCGGCCCCTGATGGTAGCAACAACTGAGGGGTCCCCCCTCCTCCTTGCCTCCTTTCTATTCCTTCTCCCTCAGCGAGGGTAAACAGAGGAGGGGAGGCAGACAGTGAGGCAGGCAGAGAGGGGAGTGTATGAGCAGGGGCAGCAAGCGGAGTGAGCAGCTGCGGAGAGTCAGGTGCAGCTGACGCTGTTGGCGTGACAACGCGTTGACTGGCAGATCTGTTGAGAAACGGACGGCAACGGGGAAATGAGGGGGGCGAGGCATGAGAAGCAGCAGCATCTGTATCGCCAGCATCAGGAGTGTCTACAGCATCACCAGGAGGAGCAGCAGTGGTGGCACGACGAGCAGCAGCAATGGCAGGAGGGGAGGCAGCAGGTGACAGGTGTAGGGGGAGGAGGGAAGAAGAGGGCAGGAGAGCAGTTGTGAGATGCGGGAGGCGAAAGGCGGTGTGGCACAGCGGCCACGCGGTAGCACAGTCCTCCTCCGTAGGGGAACCGTCTTCGAGATGCGCAGACGCCCCTGCTGCTGCTGCTGTCGGCACTGGCGTTGCTGCTGCTTCTGTTGGTGAGAGGCTAGAGTTACCGCAGCAGAGGGTCCACCGGGAGAAGTCCTCTGCAACCACTGAAAGAGGAGTCTCAGCAGCAGCAGCAGCAAGGGGAGGAGGAGAAGCAGCAGCAGCAGCAGCTGCAGCAGGGGGAGGAGGAGAAGCAGCAGCAGGGGGAGGAGGAGAAGCAGCAGCAGGTGGAGGAGGAGAAGCAGCAGCAGCAGCAGCTGCATCAACAGCATAAAGAGCCCCAGGGGAAGGACCATCACAAGCAACATTGCTGCTAGAAACTGTCCTATCTGCTGGGCGGGCTGCTGCCAGGTGAGAGGTATGGAGCGCGTGTGGTGGAGGCGGCATCGCTTCCACTCGCATTAGCATGACTTGCGGCCCATGCTGGCCACTGTCGTGTGCTGGTGCTGCTGGTGCTGGTGCTGCTGGTGCTGGTGGTGGTAGTCCTGGTGCTGCTGCTACTGCTGCTGGTGGTGCTCCTGGTAGTCCTGGTGCTGCTGCAGTTGATGGTAACACTGGCGGTGTCGCTGGTGCGCCAGGCCTCTCCAACCCTCTAGCAACCACACCATCTGCCCCACCACCTGCTCCTGGTGTACTTGCACTCTCCCCTGCCACGGCTCCCGCCACAGCAGCATCACCTGCCATCACAGCCTGCCCTATCAGCGGCACAAGGCCAGACCGCGAGCCTTCCCTGGCAGGAGCACTGTTGGGTGAAGCAGCATCCCCAGAGGAGCTCTTCCCACCGCTGAGGCTGCCCACGGGGTTATTAAAACCAAGTGAGCCCGAGCCCGAGCCCGAGCAGCCCGCGCCCAAGCCCGAGCCTGAGCCCGAGCCCGAGCCCACGACCGAGCCTGCGCCTGCGCCCTCTTTGCATGTAAGATTTGCGGCGGAGGGAGCAGTGGTGGGTGGGGCGTGAGTGGAGTAGACGAGTTCGGCGGGCTGCAGCGGCAGCAGCGAGAGGCCCGCAGAGAGGCGCAGCCACGGCCGGCAGCAGGGGCGCGTGGGGACCGACTGCGGCTGCGGTGGGGAGAGAGCGCCCCATGAGCCGAGGACCATGGGGTCCACTCGCGCCACCGGCTGAATGCCCAACGTGCCTGGTGAGGGGGGACAGTGCAGGGAGGGTGGGGGGATATGCGACGGTGAGTTGAGTTGAGAGCACTCTTGCCACTGGCGGAATGGGCAGAGTGGCTGGTGGGAGGAAGAGGTGGCAGGGAGGGAGGGGAGTGAGAGACGGGAAGGGGGACGGGGAGAGGGGTGATGGGATGGGTTAAATATCTTGCGATGTAGCAGGGCGAAGTAAACCGTGGAACAGAGGGGAGGTCGGGAGGTGAGTGTGGTAGATGCGACACATGGAAGGGAGAAAGGAGGAGGGGGAGTGGGGGGTGGGGGGCGGGCCACACACTCACCCAGCACGCAGCCGCCAAAGGCCACGAGCCCGTCGGCTGTGAGGCCTCCACTGGGCCCTGCTGCCGGCTCGCCGTGCGCACGCACAGGCGACCTGCGACACGGCAGGGGAGCGGTGGGAGGGGAATCGTGGTGCAGCGGATAAGTGAAGTGAATTCTCTCAACGTATCAAGAATCCAATCCATGTAAGTTGTTGTGCATGGCGCAGCGCACGAGCCGTGGTTGCAGAAGAGGAAGTGAGGCAGGGATGATGTGCTTGGGAGGCAGGGCGGAAAGGAGGAAGAGAGCACAATGCAAGACACCCTTTGAATTGATCAAGGGGTGGAGGGGCAGTAAAATGGAGCGTGAGAGGGGAAGGTGGTATGGAAGCGGGAGGGAGTGGAAGTGAGGTCACAGGACTGTGGCTAAGGGAGGATGGTGGGTGCACAAACACACACATGCACATCCGCGCACAGACACAAGAGCGCGTGCACACACACACATGCACAGGTGCGCGCGCGCACACACACATGCACACGTGCGCGCGTGCACACACACATGCACACGTACGCGCGCGCACACACACATGCACACGTGCGAGCGCGCGCACACACACACACATGCACACGTGCGCGCGCGCGCACACACACACACATGCACACGTGCGTGCACACACACACATGCACACGTGCGCGCGCACGCACACACACATGCACATGTGCGCGCACGCACACACACCAGGAGAGCGAGGGCAGGTGCAGGGCGTGCACGTCCCTGAGGTAGCTGCGCGTGTCGTAGATGGTGCCCTCGGTGAGCAGCAGCGTGTCCTCCCCTACCTGCCAGCACAGCCAGTCACAACCACCACAGTCACGACCATCTATGCAGATCCTCAGACATCTTCCAGACGATGACTGAGGAACAGCCAGCCAGTCACAGCCACCAGAGCCCCACAGTCCTCAACGCAAGTTCGCTGGAGCAGGAAACGAAAGGTACATGTTGTAATTTAACATCGGGCAAACGGCAAGTTTGGATCGAATGGAGTGAGCAATCCAGCATCTGTGGGTGGCAACAGCGTGCGCTCACGCACCTTGGTAAGGCCGCTGCGGTTGCGAGCAACAGGCTGGCACTCTGGGGGTTGGGCCGAGGGGTTACGGGAGGCGTTGGGGGCAGAGGAAGGGCTGCGGCGCCACTCCATAGTGGCGAGATTGAGGGCGTAGGGCTGGGGGGGGGGTAGGGGGGATAGGGGGATAGGGGGGATAGGGGGGATAGGGGGGATAGGGGGGATGGGAGAGGAAAGGAGGGAAGGGAGATGGGGGAGAAGGTGAAGTACATTGGGTAAGGAAGAGGAGTAAGATGAGAGCAGAGAAGCGAGCGAGAGGTGAGAGGGAGGAAGGGGGTGAGGGAGGGAGGGAGGGAGGGAGGGAGGGAGGGAGGGAGGGAGGGTGAAATCTGGAGACAGTGCGGCAAGAGAGTGTGAGAGAGAGGAACGGTGTGTGCGCAGAAGGCAGGCGGGAGCTGCATGTGAGGCAGGCGGCTCCCTACCTGCATGGTTTCGAGGTTGGTGCTGTCGTCTCTGTAGCCCCCAAAGATGACCAGGTGCTCGCTGCCTGATGTGCCACAGCTGCATGAGGATGGGGGGAAGAGGATGGGGGAAGAGGATCCGGGGAAGAGGATGGGGGAAGAGGGTGGGGGACGAGGGTGGGTAGGGAGAGGCGGGTTTGAGAGTGAGAGGACGGAAGAGAGGGGAAGCCAGAGGGGGGAAGAGAGGGAAGTATGGATGCGAGGAGTGCGAGATGTGAGCTTGAGCATGCCATGGAGCGCGGCACTGCTCTCAGGCGCTTTTGAGTCAGCTCGAAAGGGAACGTCAGGATGCGGTGCAGAGCGGTGCAGTGCAGTGCAGTGCAGCGCAGTGCAGTGCAGTGGTGCACTCCAACTCACGTGTACGTGGTGGCGAAGTGCAGGATGCGCACGCCAGGGCACACTCCATGCGTGGGCACGCGTGACCATGCCATGCTGCCCACATCCAGCACATACACCACCAGCGCACGCGCCCCTTCCCCATGGCCCACTTCGCCATGCGCAGCAGCAGCAGCAGCAGCAGCAGCAGCAGTAACAGCATGCACACCTGCCTGCCTCTCCCCCTCACCACCTGTCCTCCTTGCCCTCCTTGCCCTTCCAGTGCCCTGTTCACTGCCCACACTCTGCCACGCACTCTCCCACGCCATGGGTGACTGCTGGGAACACCCACACCCACACCCACATCCCCTCCCACTACCACCACCACTGCCACTGCCACTGCCACTGCCACTGCCACTGCCACTGCCACTGCCACTGCCACTGCCACTGCCACTGCCACTGCCACTGCCACTGCCACTGCCACTGCCACTGCCACTGCCACTGCCACTGCCACTGCCACTGCCACTGCCACTGCCACTGCCACTGCCACTGCCACTGCCACTGCCACTGCCACTGCCACTGCCACTGCCACTGCCACTGCCACTGCCACTGCCACTGCCACTGCCACTGCCACTGCCACTGGTACACGGTGCACCAGCAGCAGGATGGGAGCTGGATGGTGCGATGGCCGTGGGCTGGCGCTCTGCAGAGTCTGAGGCACCACGAGCACTACACATGGCAGCACCAGCTGTTGCAGCATCCGCGCCAGCAGCAGCAGCCATACTTGAGGCACTGGTGCCGCTGGGAGTGCTGTCTTCACTGCTGTAGCATCTGCTGCTGCTGCTGCTGCCGCTACTGCAGCTGCAGCCGCTACTGTCACTCGTGGTTGCAGCACGCGTGGCATCACCACACCTGCCTCTCACGCCACCCTCACTCTCACTCCAACGCCCACTCTCACTCTCACTCCCCCTCTCACTCCCCTCCTCACTCCTTCCCTCACTCCCATCCTCACTCCTCCCCTCACTCCCCTCGCTGGCATGCGCACGCCGACTCGTATCGGAAGTGCAGCGCTCGCCACATTGCGGCCCTTGCTCTTGCCTCCCGGCCTGCCGCCTCTCGCCAGGTGACCCGGCCTGCCTCATCTCGCCCTCAAGCCTGTGACTGTCCATGTGCTCGCGTGGCTGGAATTGCCACTGCTCTTGTTGTTGCTGCTGCTGATGCTGTTGCTGCTGCTGCTGCTGCTGTCGCCGCCGCTGCCGTTGTCCTTGCCGCTCCTGCCGTTGCTGTCGCGCCAGCTGCTGCTGTTGTTGATGTTGTTGTTGTTGCCACCGAACCCCCTCCCTGCTTCTCCTCCTTCCCCTGTCTTCCCTCTCTCCCTCTGCTCTGCGTTCATCCTGCCCTTGCTGCCCGCTCCTCTCGTCTCCATCCGCCTGCCCCCCACCCTGCCGTGCTCTTTCCACCACATCCCAGTCGTTCACCACCAATCCTTCGCCTCTGCATGCATGCAGGCACACGCATAGGCACGCGCACGGGTACAATCGCAGGGGAAGGGACGCATAAAACGAGGGGTGAGAGTGACAGCGGGGATAAGAGAGAACCGCGGCGAGAGCCACACCAAGAGCCGAGAGAGTGAGGGCAGGCACAGTAAGGAGAGAGAATCGACGTAGAGAAACGAAGCGGAGGGATGGGAGAGGGAGAGAAGGAAAGACGTTGGTAGGAGAGAACTGGAATAGAGAGTGTGGGGGGGGAGGAAGGAGGGGTAAGGATGGGCAAGCGGCCAAAGAGGGGAGAGGGGACTGGGAGGAGAGAGCAAGGGAAAGAGTGCATACCCATAGACGAGCACTTTTGACCCATTCCCATAGGCGGCCATGATGTGGTGGAAACGGGCAGAGGGCGCGGTGCCCTTGGTGCTTGCCCTGCGCCATGTGACCGTGGCGCCACCGTCGGAGAGGCAGAGGAAGAAGGACTCCTCCATGCCATGCACGTTGCCCTGCATGCACACACACACGCACACACACACACACACACACACACACACACACACACGCACATGCACGCACGCACACACGCACACACGCACATGCACGCACGCACGCGCACACACACACACACGCACACGCACGCACACACACACACACACACACGCATGCACGCACACACACACACGCACGCGCGCACACACACACACACACGCACACACACACACACGCACACACGTACGCACACACGCACGCACACACACACACACACACGCACGCACATGTACACATGGCGGGTGCATTCCACACCGAAGATTTCTTAGAATGCGTTAGGTCTCTCCAGAGCATCCGTACAACGGTGCAGCGCACACCTTGGCACGGCAGCAGCGTGGCGTGAGGGGTTGATGACAGGGGATCAAAGGCGACGGGCGAGGAGAAGACAGGGACGCGCTTGCATCATGGTGGAGGCGACCGAGATAGAGGGGCCGTGAAGCAGCGGGGAGGGGATGCCATGGAGGGGAGGGAGGAGAATAAAGTCAGGCAACCCAACCGCCCACCCACCCACCTACACACACACGGGCCTGCCCACCCACCCACCCACCCACCTGCCCGCCCACCACCCACCCGCCCGCCCGCCCTCCCCCCCCGCACCTCCAGGTCATATCCGCCGAACATGAACAGAATCGGGTCGTCCTTCCCTGCGAACCCGCCTTCTCTGAGCGCGGCTGGAGCGTCAATCACCGCCACCGTGTGGCGGAAGCGGCAGCGGGGCAGCACGTCCCCCCCACACGTGCGCACGGTGGGGCGCCACGCAGCGAGCGAGGAGAGGCGGAAGACGAGCACGTCGATGGTGGCCTGGCCCTGCCGGCTCAAGCCCCCTATCAGCACCAGCAGCTCGCCCACCTACAGGGAGGGAGGGATGCAAGCCATGGAGTGAGAACGGCAAGGCATGGGGGGACGATGGGAGGGTCACGAGGTGAGCTTGCAGGAATGAAAAAAAGGGTATTTCGGACGGACATCGACGTGCGCAAATGTGGCATGCACAAGGAAATCACTGGTGTGGTAACACCCTTCCCCTCGCTCTCCCATTCCCCGCTTCCGCTGCACTCCTCCTACTCCCCGACCCAGCTGCCGACCCAGCTCTCCCCGCCCCCCTCCTCCTCCCCCCTCACCAACCGTCATCCCCCACCTCCTCCGCCTTCCCTACCTGAGTGGCGGAGTGCCCCGTGCGCTCGAGCGTCTCCAGCACAGCCGCCGCCGACTCGTCGTAGGCCGCCCATTTCGCGCCCACCTCGCACCCCTCCCCATTCCCCGCGCTCGCACCCACGCCCGCGCCCGCGCCCGCGCGAATGCCCAAGGCCGCCTGCCGGCCCAGCGGCAACAGCTGCGCCGTCTGTAGCCCCACGGAGGGTATTGCGTCTTCCGCCGTAGCGCGCTCCGTGCGCCACGACGATACGAGGCTGCGGGTGGATGGAGGGGGTGCGGGGGGGAATAGCACAGAGCGTGAAGGGAGGCGGTGGGAAGCGGTAAGGGAGGGGAGAGGGGCGGGAAAGGGGGGGGAACGGAGGAGAGGGAATGGGGATGAGCGCGGGGAAGACTTCCGCAAGCGAATACCAACCTGCGCGGTTAACCGCGGTTCACCGGATCACATTTCCCCCCCCATGCCATCCGCGATTCCCCTTCCGTGCCCCATCACCATCAACCCCCCCCTCCCCCCCTTTTCCCCCCCCCCTCCAACCCTAAGCCACCACCCGTTCCTTCCCCCCCCGTACGCCAGCCCTACCTCTGCCGCAGGGCTTCCCCCCCTTCGGGCCACCACTGCACGTGGCGCGGGCGCACGGCTGCGCCGAACAGCCGCTGCCAGAACCACGTCTCGCCGTAGCCGTCCGCCACTGCCGCCGCCGCCGCCATTGGCGGAAGCGACAGCACCCCCGACCGGGCCCCAACCGACCCGCGCTTGGCTCCGCGGCTGCGCGCGGAATCACGTCTACGGGCAGTGGGGGGGTCGGGGAGGTGCGGGGGTGGCTCCCAGCCCCAATGCCAGGCCGTCTGCCAGGCACTGTCGCTCGTGCTCAACCGCCCCTCCTCCTCCTGCTGCTGCTGCTGCAGTTGACCCTGTTTCGGCGGCGCCGCCATCGGCGATCCCGCTTGATTCTGGATTCTTGATCTCGCCGCGGGAGCATGCTGATGGCCGGGCGGCAGCGAAGAGACTCGCGCGGGCGTCAAGCGCTGGGGAATCTGGTGGCGCGCAAAGGCCTGGTGCAGCGCGCCGAGGCACGGGCCGAGCTTGGCCAGGCATAGGCTGTGTTAGGGGGAGGCGCAAGCGCAAGGGGCGCAAGAGGGGCAAGGGGCGCAAGGGTTGCGCGGAGGAGAGAGACAAACGAAAAAGAAGTGCCGGTTGGGCGATGAGCACGCGTGCGGATGCCCGCACAATATATACTTCATGGGTGAAAGTGAGGTGCGCTTCGAAAAGCCTCCCCCCCCAATGCGCTACGATATGCTTCACGTCAACAGAATCAAGGATGAGCGTTAATCGTCCAGGTATGAAATTAGGTCAACTGGAGAATGTATTACCGGCGCCATCGAAGCGCGGCTTGCGGGTCAGCAGACGCGGAAACGGCGGCTCGTAGCTCCCGGCACGAGGAGGAGAGGCTCACGAGCGAGCGCGCGTCGAGGAGGTCCAAGATTCGCCACTGCACGGACGTGGGGAGGAGGAGCAGCCGCGACGGCGGCAACCCCGAGGAAGGCTGCGCGCAGCACACGCGCTTCCCCGGTAGGGCGAGGCTCATGGCGGGCGATTACAAGGGGAGCGGCATTACTGAAGCTAAGAGGGGATTCAGAGGCTCGAAAAGGACATGCCGTGGCAGCAGGTCTGCGAGACGAGCAACGGCCGTTGAGTTCTTACGATGATGATGATGATAATGATGATCCGCGAGCTGTACGCGCTATAAGACACACGAAAAGGCCACACCTGAGGCTTGCCGTGCCGTTTGAACGACGGTCCGGGGTTTCAATAGGAGCTGGGGGTGAGGCTAGGAGTCATGACTCAAAACCAGGATAAGGGAGAGGGAGAGGGAGAGAAAGCGTTACTGCCTGAGTTGTTACTAGAGTGGAGAAAGGAAGCGAGACAGGAGGCCTGGAAGCGGGCGTTTCGTGCATGAAGTTTCCTCAGAGCACCGCCCGCCTCTCGCAAGAATTTGTGGTCAGGAATTAGTTAGGAGGTTGGAGACAAATAGTACGTACACACTAATGAACGGAGCAGGCGATAACGGAGTTAGCCACAGGCAGGTAGGCAGGCATGTGTGTGGAGCGCGGGGGTGGAGGAGGGGCAGGGCTTACGCTAGAAGGGTAGCTACCCTAAATGTCGAGAAATTAAGAGTTGTTCAAGCTCCGAAACCGGATTTTAACAGGTCGGGATTCGCCGAAAATCTGAATGTTTCCGACTGAATTCTCCTTGAAATCCTGATCCATTCCGTATGCTATTTTCATGAATCCTGACGAACTAGTCTCGTAGCATGAACCTCTGTGAGGAGAAAATCCATTCCACTGCGTGGTGGCGAAGATTTTCACGTCACGAAACACCAAAGGTACTTGGACGATTTCAGGACTTGATCAATCAGCCTAGTCATGTTCCCTGAACACATCAGGGGAGATGACTAATACGACCTTTGGCAGGGTTGCTATGTCGAGAACTCGGAAGGATTCTGGGTAAATTTTCCTTGGGATCCGGAAAATTCTGGGTACTTCTGGACCCCATCTCGGGACCCTCCGAAACTCCCTAGGGCCTAGCGTAAGCCCTGACAAGGTTTGGCTGGTAGCTCTGCAAGTCGGCGGTGGGCCACCACGTCCACTACTGTACAGTACAAACGATGCCCAGCCTTATCGCAGCTCAACCCAGCGCCCAATCAAAATAGTTTACCAAAACCCCCCATATACGGGAAATGGGAGATCCGTTCGAGTCACTCATGATTGAGTTTGAGACCAACATAAAGCATGGGACAATTCATTGCCGACGTGGTTTCGTCGCCACGGAACTGTGCACCGCAGTCGCCTGATCGCCTCACAAGAGCTGCATACTGGCAACAAACAACGCCAACCAAGCCCCCCCCCCACAAATACCCACCCTTTTCACCGTGTGCTCGTACGAAAGCCTCATTTGCCCGTGGCAAGGGCATGCGACATACAAGTGCGATTGAATCCCCGGCACCCTCAAATCTTGTGCGACTCTGACGAGCTTCGTCTGTACATTGTTCCAGCACAGTGTAGGGCGAGGGAAGGAGCGGAGATGAGGGGTGATGGTGAAAGGTAAGAATCAGAGAGGAGAGAGGAGGGGAGAGAAATAAGCAAGCCAAGCCATTCATCATGTCCTGGCCGGTAAGCTGGACTGGCCGGTGAGGTATGGAATGAGGAAGATCCATCCCACCCCACCCTCATCCCGGCGTCGCAGTAGGTGTGGCCTACAAGGAAAATCAATGCGCGAATCTCAGACCAGAGTTGAGTACACCAGTTGTCCAGTTAAACACTTACTCAAACATGTTCTAAATATTACCCGACAAACGCATTGATTCCAAGGTACAAGAAACTACCCACACTAAAGACCCCCCCGATTTGTCACTGTTCCCAGATCTGATACTCCGCAAACGTGCAGATGGACATTTAGGTCGTGTGGCAAGTAGTTGTCTGAAAAAATCCGCTCCGCTCCTCCCATCGTTCCGCTCCCAAACTCCCGAACCATGGGACGAGAGCTCTGTTCGTTTGTTGGGACAAAAAAAGTGTTGTACAGGCACATTTTGCCCGACTTAATGGCCGGAGGATACATGCAGAGAGCGCACATTCATGCCAATTGTCTGAATCATAAAACATGTGTACAATAGTCGGCTGTGTTGGGTTGACATGTGAGTCATGACACAAACGAGGCCAAACCAAGCCAGCCCAAAGCTGTTGGCTGGCATGGCTTGGTGCTTATCTCTTGGACTCCCCTTCCCCAAGCCATCACCTTCGCTCCACCATTAAAAGTCAAGATGATTTCTGTTCGAATCATAGGATAACTAGAATGCCTATGTACAAGGGTATATGACCTAGGAGTTGTACCCTCTAAGGCACAAACCTATACAGTCTACACAAACATAACAATATATGTTTGACACATCCCCTAGACTGTATAGGGGCAGTTCCTGACGAGAGAACGAGCAGCTCAGGGCAGCACTACTAGTCCAACCTCTGAGGCAAGGGTCTAAAGACCAGTCAAACGTGTTCAGACAAAGGCAAGAGCAAGACCTGGGCGGCACTACTAGTCCAGCCACTGGGAGAGGCCAAAAGGCCAGTCAGGGTAAATATATATATAAAGGTCTGTACAAAGTCAAGGCCCTATCAAGTGAGAGGCTACAGGAACGAGACCTAGCTGTATACAGTGCCGCTAATGATCTTTAGGCGCAAGCGCCTTCGTAAAGATATCAGCTGTGTTGACACCGAAGGCCAAGTTTAGTACGCAAGCCTGGCGGCGCTGCTGTAGCTCGCACAGGAGGAAGTACAGCAACTGGATGTGCTTCGCTCTACCCTCAAGTCGCGACTCCTGACACAGGAGTTTCATGGCCCTGTTGTCAGCGTACAGGACTGGGGCAGAGCTAGGCCGCTCACCTAAGTCAGGGTGCAAGAAGGTCAGCCAGCGGAGCTCCTGTGCCGCCATGGCACCGGCGTAGATCTCGGCCTCACAGCTAGACTGAGCAACGGACGAAGAGGGAGTAGCTCTCCACGAGACGACACCTGAACCAAGACTAAAGAAGTAGCCCTGCGAGGACCTGAGGGTCTCGGCGTCGTCTGTTCAAGAAGCGTCTGTGTGCCCTGTAAGGACCACTGGCCTGCGTCCTCCCAGCACTAACCCCATGTCCGATGTACTTGCGAGACAACGCAAAACCCACTTAGCAGCAGACTAGTGCTGAGGTCAGTGTCTGCCTGTGGCCACAAAGCGAGCCAGGATGCTGAGAGGGTATGCGAGATCTGGACGAGTGCAAGTCATCAAGTACATGAGGCAAGCCACCAGCTCTGCGTAAGGACCACTGGGCTCTACTGACTCCTCAGGAACTGGAGCAGAGAGCCTGTGATCTATTGGCAGAGGTGTGGGTTGTGCGGAGGAGAACTGAAGATCGAACCTCTTAAGGACCTGGTGCACCAAGTGTGACTGGGAGAGGGTGATGGTGCATGCTACTCTGTCCCTGGAGATCTGCAGGCCATGGTAGTGGCGCAGTTCTCCTAGATCAGTGCACGTGTGTCTCTTCAGCAGCTCTACCTTCACGAAGGCCAGTGCGCCAGTGTCTGCAGTGGCGAAGACCAGGTCGTCTACGTAAACGAGGATGCAAAACGGGGTCTGGCCAACACGAACGAACAGCGAGGGGTCTGCAGAGAACAGTAAGATTTGCAGGTCAGCAAGGGTAGCACGCAACGTGTCGCGCCACTCAAGGGGCGCTTGTCGCAAGCCGTAGACTGGGCGCCGCAGAAGCCACTAGGTCACAGGAGGGAAGGTACCAGTAAAGCCCTGAGGGCGGCGCAGGTAGACCTGCTCGTGTAGGCTGCCCTGAAGAAACGCAGTGGAGAAGTCGAGGGAGTGTAACTCGTAGTCACGCTGTGCTGCTACGTGTAGCAGCACCCGACGAGTAGTCATCTTCGGGGTCGGGGTGGAGGTCTGAAAAAAGTCCACCCCCTCGCGCTGACTAAAGCCTCTAGCCACGTAGCGCGCCTTGAACACAGGCGGCTCTCCAGGAGGGCACTTCACCTTGAAGAGCCAGCGGCCATCGACTACGTTCACCCCAGGTGGGGGAACTGCGTCGACGTAGGTGCCGGTGGATCTCCAAGATGCCATCTCCTGCTCCATGACAGCTATCCACTGAGAGGTTCAAGGTCCCGAGGTCGCCTCAGCGTAAGTACGAGGGGTCGGGAAGTCAAAGGCGCCTTGGTCACCCTCAGGGACTAACAGCATGAAACAGAGATGGGGAGCAGCCTCGGAGAGGAAAGCAAGCTCGAACTGGCGGTCCTCCAGGACGTCACTGCCGAGGGCAGGAGCACCCTCGATGGACGGAGAACTGGCAGGGTCATAGACCAGAGCGGTGGCGTAGTCAAGGCGACGGGTAGAGGCGAAGTCAGCAACCGCAGCGACAAGCGCGTCAAGACGCGAGACGGGAACAAACGGGTCGGAAACGAGAGAGGCAAGGACCCAAGGAACAAGAGGACGAGTGGCACGGAGGTAGTCAGACAGAGGAGGCCGAGCGACAACAAGGGAGGACGGAGGAGGAGACGGCAGGAGGGGAGGACAAGACCGCCGAAGGCAAACTCGCCACCACGGTCGGAGTGGAGACGCAAGACAGGGAGACCGTGGTGGACACGCGCAGAGACCAGCCATGGGATAAGGACGTCAGGCATGTTGGCCTTCCGCTCCAGGGGAAACACCGTGGTGTAGCGCGTGTAGTCGTCGACGAGCACTAGGAAGTAGCGCTCCCGACGCGGCCCATGGACGGGGGCGGGGCCCCAGACGTCCATGTGCAGGGTCTGTAGCGGTGCGGCGGTGGGGGGGAACGAGGAGGAGTGAGGAGCACGGCGGAGCCGGCCCTCGACGTAGGGCGTGCATGGTGGCGCTGGGGAGGAGGGCAACTCGGGGAACGACACTGGGAGACCTAGGACAAGACCGTGCTGGGATATATAACTCAGGGTTGGGAGTGCTGGGTGACCTAGACGGTGGTGCCACAAGAGTGTCGGGTGAGTAAGCGACCGACACGAGCAGGCCGCAGCAACTTGGGTAGACGCAGCCACCTGGGGAGACGTCCCAACCGGGGGGGGCGCGGTGTCCAGTGTAAACAGGCCGGACACCGGGTCCCGGGGGAACATGGTGAGGGGAGCATCAGTGGCAGCCTCGGTACAGACAGCGTACCGCTCGTGACCAGGGAACGTAGTGGTGACGCCAAGGTCCTGGAGACAGCCGACACCAACTAGGTTCCTGGAGAACGAGGGGATGTGCAAGCCTGTAAGGGAGCTTGAAGGGGTTGCCGGACAGGGAAGGGTGGAGGAACTACGAGCGATTACCGGACCGGAGGAGGGGTCGGCAAGGGAAACTGTGGAGGGAGCAACAAGCGGCGTCAACGTAGTGGAGTCGCGGAAGAAGCACCGGGAAGCGCCGGAGTCCAGGGTGAAGGAGAGCACAGCAGAGGTGGGATCGGTTGAGGAAGCGACAGAGGAGC